AATGCGTTTCAAGATCTGATACGGCCCATAATAACGAACGCCCAGCTTAGTAGCTGCCCTTTGCGTAGTCGTGCGTTGCCTGAATGGTCGAAGCTTCAAATAGACGTACTCTCCTGGTACAAAATTTTCCTCACGCCTCTTTCCGTCGGCGAAGGACTTGGTCCGATTAATCGAGCCTTTAAGATTTCTCTTCAGTTCTCGCAGCATCAAATCTCGTTTCTCAAGCTCACGACCAACCTCATCGTTGACTGTGTTTCCCTCAGAATAATTGATCAGGGTTGGGGGTTTTCGTCCATATACTAACTCGAATGGCGTCATCTTGGTCGACTCGTGGTAAGTGGTGTTGTACCAATACTCAGCCCATGGTAAGAAGTTTTCCCACCTCCTTGGAAACTGATGGACATAGCACCTTAAGTACTGCTCAAGTGTCCGGTTGGTTACCTCGGTTTGCCCATCTGTCTGGGGGTGGTATGCTGAGCTCATAGATAACTTGGTCCCTTGAAGCTTAAAAAATTCAGACCAAAAGCTGCTCATAAAAATCCGGTCTCGGTCAGAGACGATGGATCGAGGCGCTCCATGCAGTTTCATCACATACTCCACGAATAGCCTGGCAATTGACTTTGCGGTGTAAGGATGGGTAATGGGTATGAAGTGAGCGTACTTCGTGAGACGATCCACCACAATCATAACACCGTCAAACCCATTAGAATTTGGTAGCCCCTCGATGAAATCCATGGTGATGTCTTCCCAAATTGCCTCGGGTACTGGCAAGGGTTGTAACAGCCCACCTGGCCGTCGCGAGTCAGACTTAGTACGCTGACAATCGTCGCATCGTGCTATGTAGTCCCGGACGGTGCCTTGCTGTCCTGGCCAGAAGAACGTGTTGGCTATCCTCATCCACGTGCGATAGATACCCGAGTGGCCTCCCACCTTGGAGTCATGGAAGTGCTGCAAAATCTGCTCGCGTAACTGTCCACTGTCGGGGACATAGACTCGACCTCGGTGCAGAAGTAGATCGTTATGCAGCTCATAGTCGATAGCAGTTGTCTTCCCTGCTTCTATCGACTGGCGCAGTTCCTGGCAATGGGTATCCTCTACTTGCGCCTTCCTGATCTCCTCCCAAATGGCCCAAGTAGGCCCAGTGATCGCACTCAACTCGGGCACGTCTGTTCGCCGGGATAGTGCGTCGGCTACTGCGTTCTGGCGACCTGGTCGATAGATTATCTCGAAATCAAACCCCATAAGTTTAGACACGAACTTCTGTTGCTCGGGGGTAACAATCCTTTGCTCCAATAGGTGCTTGAGCGGTTGCTGATCTGTAACAATCTGAAATCGCCGGCCTAGTAGATAAGGCCTCCAACATCGTACAGCCTCGACAACTGCTAACATCTCTTTCACGTATACTGACAGACCCAGTCG